AGTTGACTGTGGAATATTTAGGAGCGAGGAAATTTCACGACTGGATTTGTTGCGCAGGTGGCATCCTGTCACAGTTCCACGCTGGAATTCCCTGAGCTCCTGAGAGAGACCCATTCTTTCACAAATGTTTGTAAAAATAGTCTGCATGCCTAGGTTCCTGTGGCCATGGAAGTGATTGGAACACCTGATTCTGATTATGTGGATGGGTGAGCGAATACTTTTTGGCAATATAGGGTACATATAGGGTATTTTTAATCTTCTTCATTTCCAAACTCCTTTTTTATTCTCCAGCAGTGGTGGGTTCCGGATCCCGTTGCAATCGTACCGCATGCATCCTTACCTCTTGCGACGCCTCCGTGAGCCTCCGCGATGCTCCAGCTGCTCAGCAGAGCGTCGCACAGGCGCCATACGCTCTGTGCACATAAGCCTCGAAGAGCTCAAATACCTATAAGGAGCTTGGGCAGGTGAAGAGCACTGTACCAGAACGGTAGCCGGTGCTCCAAGCAGGCACCGGTACGCTTGTCCCGGGGCATACCGCCTGCAACCCACCACTGTTCTCCAGCCATTGATAAAATACCTCCCATATCACAGAATATTCGGTTTGTTCTTTCTCCGGAAAAATACGGTCATTTTATTGTGAGAATTCAATAACTCAACTCAACAGGTGAGTGGCCTCAGCTGGAGATCCAGGAAGCAGGTGAAGAACTGAGTTTCTATTTTGCTTCCTCCTTGTTTTATGAGAACAATGGCCCTTGGCAACCAACTCTGACCTCTTGTGGAGCTGTTGTGACTTTAATCATGGAGATAAACATATCAAGAGGGCCTCAGGCATTCCTTCACCTTTCCAGAGATGAAAACTTGTCACAGCCTGTTTAGAAGCCACCAAAAGTCACTAATGGCCCCTCTAAAGTCAGTGGCTTTCTGAATGTCCAAAAAGGCCTTCTGCTAGTTCCTGAATTTATGACCTGCCATGTAGCAGGGATCAAATTATCACTTATTAATTTACTTTCTCATTGTTAAAGTCTCCATCCGTCCATCTGGACCACAATCCTGGTTCTTCTTGATGACATGGCCCTTACTGCCAAGCTACATTAGGGGAGAAGGTGACCCGAGGCAGCTACTGAACTTTATAATAATGGAAAGAACTTGAATCAAAGTTTCTTGGATCCCACTCAAACTACTAGGTGGTTGTTGTTAGTTGCNCCTGTCTGATATGGTTGTACCTGTTCAGCATATCCCTTAGGGTCATTAGAGCGTGCAAGCCCCTCCACCACGACAAGGTAAAGCTCCTTGGAGGGGATTATTATTATTATTATTATTATTATTATTATTGTTAACATCTCAACAACTAACCAAGGACCTAGGAACTGTTAAGGTAACATCGGAGGATATAAGCTGTTCCAAGTTATTATTATGTGGTTAATCTTTGGTGAGATTCACAGCCTTTGGGGCTGGTTGGTAGCTCCACAGCTCAAGTCCTAACCAAAGACCTAGGAACTGTAAAGGTAAGGTCGGAGGATATAAGCTTTTCTGATGAGGGCTCTGCATCAGAGGCAGAGATGGGGCCGTCTGACAATTATCGGCTGCCTCTGAGTCAGACATGGGGCAGACCAACAGCTGGAGCCTGTTTCTAGTATGCACCTGCGCAAAGTTGTCAGACGAAAGGAACAGCTAAGGAACAAGGGTCAACATGAGAGTAAGGCCACAGGTAGACAATGATTGGCCCCTCCCAGAGAAAATAAAAGAGGAGCAAAAGAGGAGGGGAGTTTTCAGGAGACAGTTAATTTGTTTAATTGTTTCGTGACTCTCAGAGGATCCTTGCCAAGTTCTGCAGATATGGGCCTGGCAGCTCTCCAAGCCAGATAAGGTCTGTGACTGTAAATTCACCCTTGAAAGACTTTGCTGGATGCGAATGAGAGGAATTCACAGTAAATCAATAAAAAGAGTTTTTTTGCCAGGACAAGGAGCCTGCAGGAGGGAGGGAGGGAAACTAGGGAGAAGGAAGGAAGGAAGAAATGGTTTTAAAAATTCTTGGTTTTCCTTTTATACTTTTCCAAGGATCCTGACCAGTTTCAGTTTGGACGTACAAAGATCTTTTTCCGTGCTGGCCAGGTGGCCTACTTGGAAAAATTGCGGGCAGATAAGTTCCGGGCTGCCACCATCATGATACAGAAGACCGTGCGCGGCTGGATGCAGAGAAGAAAATACAGGAAAACCAGGGAGGCAGCTTTAAGTATCCAGAGGTTCACCCGAGGATATTTGGCACGCAGGTAAGCATCAAAAGAACATTTCCCCCAGGAGAATTTGCTTGCTAGAAATGTAGGAATTTGTTCGCCTAGCATAAATGGGGCACCACAGCAGCTTAAGATACTGGGCTTTTTCCCTCAAAAAAGAGAGTGAAAATCTGGGTACGTCTTATACACCGAATACAGCATTTTTTGCCTCCCAAAACCCTGCCCTCTTTGCAAAAATGGCCGTGCATAGTCTTTAGGAGGTTTCCACAGTGCTCATGGGGGCTGGGAAGGGCAATAATGAGCGAAAACAGGCCGTTTTTTCCTCGTCCCCCGCCCCAGCCTCCAGGAGCATTTTATAAGCCTCCTAACCGCTAGGCATGTCCCTTTTTGACAAAAAACAGGCCCCATTTTTGCAAAAAAAAGGGCCATTTTTGGGAGTGCAAGACCTTTTTTAAAATTTTTCTCTTCGTAATCTTGGTGCGTCTTATATTTTGGTGTGTCTTATACTCCGAAAAATACGGTAGATATATGAACTCTATGAATTGCATAAGAGAGTTTAAAGACCATTTAGCCCTTGAGTCCAATTCCTGTACAATATGTACAGGAATACACATTTAAACCATTCAGACGGATAGCTATCTAGCTTTCCTTGAGCACATCTGATAAAGCAGAATCAATCATTTCACTAGCATATATTAAACTATTTTCTTCCTTTAATGGTAAGCTATTTTATTCATAAATTGGGAAACGGCCTGGGATACAGGCAATTTCTATGGCTGTGATGGCGAACCTATGGCACACGTGCCAGAGATGACCTGCAGAGCCCTTCTGTAGACATGTGCGCCGTCACTAGCTGGTCTGGTTTCCAGTGTGCACCCGCAACCGGAAGGCTAGCTGGCCGACGCACATGCGCACACTGGAAACCCGAAGACCAGTTGGCCGGCAAGTGCATGCACACCGGCCAGTTGGTCTTTGGGTTTCTGGGCTCCGGTGTGCGCATGCGCGTTCTGGTTTCAGCATTAGGTGCCGAAAAAGTTCACCGTCACTGTTCTATGGCATTTCTTTTCAGGATTCCACCTAACATAAAAACCCCAGTTACTACTATTACCCCAATCCCAAAACTTACAACAAGAATAAAAAGAAAGAACAAAAAAGGTTATTTTTTTACAATTACTATATAAAATTTGTTTTTAACAACATATGAAACCATGACCTGCAAGACTTTTGTACCTGGATGATAAAAATTGAAAGCGCAGAGAATATTATTCAGTGTCCTGCTCTCCTGAACTGCCACAGGTCCTAGAGTAATAAAATTCTCTTTATGCTCACCCTACCACAAAGGAAATAGAATAAATTGCTAAGGCCCCCAGTCATAGTTTTCAGCTCATATCCTTGTCCTGGTGCATTGGGGAAAAACAATGTGACAGTTGCTGTGATGGAAAGTACGCAAAGAAAGGTCATTTGTAAAAAAGATAAGTAGAAATGTTTAAATCTTTCCAGATTTTCTGAGTTCCTTGTTACCATTCGCCTGCTGCAGGGGTCCCCAGCCTGTGGGCCACGACCAGTGGTGGGATTCAAATAATTTAACAACCAGTTCTCTGCCCTAATGACCAGCTGGGTAGGCATGGCTTGGTGGTCATGTGACCGTGTGGGTGTGGCCAACTCAACATCACTCAGGTGCATGGGCGCTTCACCTTAGCAAGGGTTAACCGGAGAAGCAGTTTCTGTAAGCAGGGCAATAAAGATGAGGCTAGAAACAACACCAGAATGTTTC